CCGCGAGGTGAGGTCGGGCTGCACAGCATCATCTTGCTGAGTGAAATCCTCTGCCGAAGCCTTTGCTGTGCTTATTTTTGTGCCCAGCGAGGCCTGGGGTAGCCGTCGAACCCTTTCCCTTCGCACAACCGTCGTGTTTCTGACGCTCTGAACGACAGGCGGTTCCTGTAATCCCCGAGCAAAACACGAGCCTCCGTCCCCAGATGGCTGAGCAGAGTCCTTCAGCGGCAAACGATGCATCATTGCCTGTGTCAGGCTGAATTAGCAGGCAGGCTCGTCACATTAAGCTCAGGCTCTGAGCTGGCAGTCCCTGTGCTCTAGTGTCACTCGAGCTGGCTGTCACACTCCCGTCCCCACCTCTGCAGCCATGGGAAATCTCTTTGGGCAGCACGCAGATAATACACACAGTAATGAAGTAGCTTGAGGGAATAGCTTACTGGCAAGCAGGAGCACAGACTGACACCTTTCTAGTGTATTAAGTTGCCTTAAGAGTGTTACGTCTGAAGTTATTACTTACACCGCTCCTTGCATGCGCTATTCGTACCGCATCTCTCCATTCCCTGATGTTTACATGAGTTATGCTTATTAATATAAAGGCAAACGTGTGTAGCTCGGTTTCTAGTCCCTCCATCTGTCCCTACCCTGTGCGTTCCCTTTCCCTGTCTCATCTCCTACCTCCATCACTTCACTGTGAAGCAAATGCAAAAAAGTTGAGAGAAAAATCTGTGCTGACCTAGCTCTCTCAAGAAATATATTTCTGTTAGAAATGCTCCAGGAATTTCAGATTCTGGTTAACAGTGACAAAACAAGGCAGAAGTGGTTTTTATTTTTTTTTTTTTCAAAGGAACAGTTGCTGCAGCAGAGATGGGAGCCTGGTTTAATGGGTTCTCGCTGCCTCACTGCAATCCAACCGTACTGGTGCCTCTTTCAAAAGTGAGAGGCTTTCGTGCCTGCTTGTCCTTGTGTTCATACGCTTAGAAAGGCGTTAGGTTTCCTTGGTGAGGGTGGGACGGAGCGCTGCCAGCCTGAGCTGCGCGGGTGGCAGCGTCCCCCCCGTGCCGGGTGCTGGCGTGGGTCGGGTGGGACAGCCGGACCCTGTTCCCGGGTGCTGATGCTCTGCTTCCCGTCCCGCAGGTGCCTGTGCTCCGGCCCATGGACCTGATGGTGGAGGCCACCCCCCGGAGGGTGTTTGCCAATGCGCATACCTACCACATCAACTCCATCTCTGTCAACAGCGACTACGAGACCTACATGTCAGCGGACGACCTGAGGATAAACCTGTGGAACTTTGAAATCACAAATCAAAGTTTTAGTATCCTTTGGTGCGTGCCACCCTGCGGTCCCTGGGACAGTCCCAGCCCGGCCAAGAGCAGCAATAAGGGAGGTGCCTTGGCTGGCAAGTGGGGTGTAGAAGCCCTGGGAGCCCAGACGCGTGCAAATGTCAGTGGGAGAATGAGAAAGCTGGACGGGGAGACAGGTCCCCGGTGAAGGTGAGCGGCGGAGGGGGAACCTGCGAGGTCCGGCTCCGCGGGAGGCAGCAGAGCCGTGCCCGTGTCTGCTGTGACGGCGACCGAGCAGGTAACGCAGCTTCTCGCCTGGCCCTGGCCCCACACCCCGATCATGGTTCCTTGGTACAGGAGCTTCACCCTCTGGAAAGGGCTCGCCGGGGCTCAGGAGTACAAAATAGGGCTGTCTGCCATGCATCCAACTGCAGAACGCCTGAAATCCCGTCCCCAGGTGTCATTACCAAGGCACTTTGCTCTCGTCTCTGCCTGTGCTGCCGGGCTGAGCCGTGCTGCCAGCAGGACGCCGGGCTGTCGCCGGCGGGCACATTCAACGCTGAGCCGCTCCCTCTGTGGCGCAGGGCTCAGCTGGCATCGTCACGACTGCTGTGGGTGACACATTTCTGAATTTTGCCTGCAGGGTCTGCATGGGGCAGGAGGGAGGGGGGTCCGCGGGTGATGGAGAAGACAGATGCCTTGGGGAAGACAGGGAGAGGAAATATTAATCGTGCAGTCTCCATTATACCCTGCAGCAGGGTGACAGGCTGCCAGTCAGAGTCGTACAAATGAGGTCGTGCCAGTCACCCTTGTAACAGCCACATCAGAAATAATAACAACAGGGATCTAATCATCAGTGATATTTATATAGTGCTTCCTACTGAGAAATCCCCAGGGCATGTGGCAAATTTAGGCAGTTGGAGAGGATTTCAGCAGTCACAGGCGTGTGGCTGGTGGGAGCTCAAAGTGGGTGCGGTTGAGCAGGGCTGCGATGTGTGTTGTGTTTTGGGGAAAAAGGTGAGGAGTACTAAATTTGGGTAAAACCTCAGGGAGTTTAGATGGCCCGAGGGAGTTTGGCCAAGGTGCAAGTACAGCACCCAAAACACTTGCTAAGAATTGATGGAGAAACCTCACCACCAGAGAGATGTCCACTCAGATGTCCCATCGCACCGGCTTGCTGGAGCATCGGTGTCACTCTGTGCCCGGTGCCTTGGAGCCCCTTCCTGGGGTGTCCCTGGTTTGGCTGCATTTGGCCGAGCCACGGGACCAGCCGCACTGGGCTCTCCGCAGGGCACCCGGTGGGGCGTTGGGTGACGCTGGCTGGTGGGGAGGAGAGCCATGGCAGCACCGCCTGCCTGCCCAGGGAGGTGGGGAGCATGTCGCCAGTTCTCACTTTTGTCGATAAAAACCAAATCTGGTCCCTGCCTGACTTAAGAGTTGAGAAGAGGCAGTGCTATGGATTGGAGTTGCTTAGTTTTGTGCATGCCACCCAGCCGCTGCACGCTTTGGTGGGATTTGGAACTTCTGCTGAGCAAAGCACCGGGGCTGTCGTGAGAGGTTGTTGTGGGTCAGAAGTGCAGGATCGCTACAGAACCATGGGGAGTGCAGCGGCATCGTGACACAGTGCGGTCCTGCGCCGCTTCTCATTGCAGACTGTCAGCATGCCTTATGAACACCAGTGCATCCAGACTTGTGCAGTGTGGGAGGGAGCGATCGCTGTCCCGCAGGGCCGTGTGCCGGGTTCAGGTCTGGCTTGCACTGGGATCCAGGTTCTGCTGCAGACCCACGGCACGGCCGGGCTGTGAAACCACTCAGTGGCTATGAACTGTGCCGGCTGCTTCTGCGGGAACGCTTGCTGTTGTAAAGCACCCCACATGGGTGAGAAATTCGTATCTTCTTTATTTTTTTTAACTCTTGTCTTGCCAGGAACAGCAGGACCTTAATTTTCTTTCCAGGGGGTGAGAAAAGGTGCTGTTTCTTTTTCCCCCTCTGCACAGTGGGTAAATCGTCCCATGCTGGGTGTCCGGATTGCTCTGTAAGACCTAAAGCCGCTTCCACCGGTGATTGCTGGCTTGGTGTCAGGTGGGGACGGACACTTGTCAGCTGTCCCCAGCAGCACCGGGATGCTCTGTGGGGCTGTGCAGGTCCTTGCCGGCACCATCCGCAGGGCCTGGGGACAGGGTCTGCAGCTTGGTTTTGAACCCAGCATTTCACCGAGCCCAGGCATTTGAAATGTTTTGGAAATTACACGTCCCTGGGCAGCTGCCCCTGGGCTGCGGTGGTTTTCTCTTGGTTGTCATGCTTCGCATTTTGTTTCCTCCCCGTTGTTTTTGGTGTGGTTACTGTGCCCCAACGCTGCAATAAAAGACGTTTACTCTGGCTCGGGGCGAATGGGCAGAGTCAGGTCTCGTGCTGCGCAGAGGGGCTCCAGGCCATGGTACCCGAGCTGCGGTCCCCGGCTGAACAGAAAACGTGACGGACGTTGGCTTTCCCCCACGCTGGCGCTGGCTGGTCCCGGCTTGGCGCTGCGGTTCTGCCCCGGGATGGTGCTGCTCTTGGCAACGCCTGGTTTGCAGGGGGCAAGGGCAAGCCCAGGTGCCCGGAGACATCAGCAGGAGGGGCAGCGGGAGGAGACCCCACGGGAGCAGCGGGGTCTGGGCCGGGCTACGTGGGGCTCCTTGACTCGCCCTGCCAGACATCGTGGACATCAAGCCAGCCAACATGGAGGAGCTGACGGAGGTGATCACGGCCGCTGAGTTCCACCCGCACCACTGCAACACCTTCGTCTACAGCAGCAGCAAAGGCACCATCCGGCTGTGCGACATGCGCACCTCCGCCCTCTGCGACCGCCACGCCAAGTGTGAGTACAGCCCCCACCAGTGGGATGGCCGGGACAGGGTCCCCTTTGGGTTAAAAGGGCCCAAAAAAGGGAGTGCGGAGACCGACCTGGGCTCAGGTCTGCCCTGCCACCTCGCCCCGTCCTCCCGTGCCGGGCTGTGGTCCTGCCTGCCCCTGGGCGTCCCATGGCCACCTGCCCTCAGTCCCGCCTGTCCCCGAAAGGAGCAGCTTCCCCTGGGTCCTGGCCCCGCACGCTTTGGGGAGGCGTGTTAGAAACCCCACGGTGATGTTTCGGCAGCAGGGGGTCCGAGGGGTCACTGGGGTATCGCTGCACAGCAACTTTGGAGCTGTCAGTGCCAGAAGACGGGGAGTGCTGTGTTTCTTCAGACTGTCCAAATAGCCCTAAGTCCTGTTGTCATCTGTGGTTGATGCCGCGGGGGCCAGGATGTGCAGAAAAGCCCCCTCAAAATTTGGAGTAAGCTGGGCAGCTGTGGAGCTTGTCCTTGGTCCTCCCTGGGCTGATGCGATGAGCGAGTGCTGCTGAGGCAGCCAGCTACGCTCGGTTCCTCCTCAGCCTGTACGTGTCAGGAGGTCGTTGCTGGAAATACTCTCCTTATCAGCAACTGCTCAGTAAAATACCGGCACAAACACCTACAGCATTTACGGGTGGGCTGGTAAATACCTGTTGCTCTTCTGTGTGCCCTAGCAGTTCGCAGCAGCCCTGTGCTGAGCGCAGTGTTGTAAATACGACACAAAGATGGGACAGACCTAAAGGAGTTCGGTATCTGCCTTAAAGACAGCGAAATACGGCAGCAGCAAGGACTGCTCTGCTGTGTGACTGGACAGCTAAACCCCTGTGTCTCCTGTTCTTATCTGAGTTTTCTTCAGAAAATGGCCAATATCTTGGGAGATTAAGGAGATTTCCAGTATTCAAAGTGTGATCATGTTACGAGAATAAGATGCACGAACCGGGTGCAACTTGCTGGAGGCCCATGCTAATAATCAGCATCCAGAGAGCACCTGGGTGTGTTTCAGATTTAGGTTTCCTAGAGGTGATAGGGAATCACACACCAGCTGTTGTTTCTGGGCTTTTGAGCTGCGGTCGTGGTCTGATACCTGTTTTTAAACTGGAGTGAAGTGGATGGAGAGGAAAGCTTACATTGCTGGCTGGAGATTGGGAAATACTGAACGGCAGTTTTCCCAAATCCTGAGCAAAACATACCTTTCTATTCTTGCATTTCCCGACCATGTCTCGGAGTCCTACAGTGATGGCTCCCAGCTGGGAATCAGAATACAATTAAGGAGCAAACAAAATTCATTTTCCTGACACTTCAGCAGCAGAAGCCCTCCCCAGCATTTCCCTTTGTTTGTGTACTGCTGCTTCCCTCCCGCCCTCGGCGAGCACACCGGCCAGCGGTGAATCCCGGCTCAGTTTGACCTCTCCCGTGACATTTCCTTATTGATTTCCCTCCGTCCCTCAGAAGCATCAGCCTCAGTCAATTGCAGTTCAGCAGATGTGTGAGTCGAAACCGAGACAGTTCATCAAAGTTCAAAATGAAAAGCAACATTGGCTTTTGGAGGCGAATCCTGCAACGGAGACATTTAATAACTATCAATATTTAATAAAAATGCAGAAGATAGCACTGCACATCCCAGTCATGTTTATTTAGATAGATGCAGTTTGCTGCTTGGGGCCAGCTTTTACTTATGTGCTTCTCTTACTAAATCTTGTTTGCCCATTTTATTTGAGGCTCCTGCGATCTGTGACACTGCCTGTTACCTCCAGCCGCGCAGCTGGCCTAAGAGAGACCGGCAGCTTCCATATAGAAATGCCTGCTCCGCAGGGATGTGGAGAACCATGTGCTACAACACTAAGAGGAGCAGTGGTCCTGCAAGGCGATACCCACCCCGGCACACCATGCGCAAAGAAATCACGCGCGTTGTCCGAAGCACCACAGCAAGCCAGAGGGGAGATCGGGATTCCTGGAGCAGCTGGTAATGCCGGCAAAAGGAATCCTGTTTGAAAAGCATATGGCAAAGTGAGGAAAAACCCTGTTGGGGGGTTACTGCAGTTATTTCCCCGTAGCAAAAGGCATTGGGCTTTCCCCTTCTTTTTTTAAGGAGCCACCTGTGAGTGTACCTGCCAAACTCCTGAAACAAAGGGCTCAAAGTGCAGCCCGTTTCCCGAAGCGGGGCCTTCGCCGCCTTGTCTTTTCACTGCTGACTGCCTGACAGCAACACCACCAAACGTTCTCTTTGCTGCAAACGGTTTCAGCTTTGCTTAGAAAGAAGCAGCACATAGAACTGCTCTGATAAGGTAACTGGCAGCATATAGATTTTGCCCTCCGATGTTGCAGATGTATTTCTAGAGCGAGCCCCCCGCCCCTTGTATTTGGGCAGGCACTGCAGCCTTTTGGGGAAGCCCCAGTGAGGAAGCCCCAGCCAGACTCTGCATCGCTGCTGCTTTCCAAGGACGTGGTGGAAAGGCCGCGTCTCCTTGAGGAGCAGGATCACCCCGTGGGCTGCGCAGCCCTTCTTGGCCATCTCGGGGGTTGGTTTGGGCTGCATCCCCTCGGAGAGGGTGCTGATGAAGCTGCTTGGGAAGGAGGGCTGGCAGCGGGAGCCGGCATGGGGAGGGCAGCTCCTGCTCAGTGTCAGAGGAAAATGGGTTTGTTGTGTAACCAAGAATTAGCGCTCAGAAATCCTTTCCGTGAGCTCAGCAGCCCAGATCTGCTTCTGCAGCAGGAGCAAAGCCATACAAAAGCCTTCAGCCGGGAAGCAAAAATAGCTCTCCCGAGCCCCTGCGCTGCCCAGCCGCGCGCTTTGGTTCTCCGGCCCGCTCTGCTCTGCCGTTGGGGACTGGGCGGCACTGCCTGCGTGCTGCGACCCCG